GACCGAGGTCGAGGAGATTCATTGCTTTTGTTTTGATTGTTGTCTTGATTGATGTTTCTATCGCTTCCTTGATTGCCGTTCAGTGTTCACTAAGTTCTCCGGCTGATGATGAAGGCGATCAGAGAGTTCCGCTTCGAAGGCCGATTTGTAACTAACGCTGATACAGTATTGTGGTCATCTGTTTTCGGTGACCTCTTTGTGGTTGTTTACCGGACGTAGGGAGAATCTGGCTCGTAATAGAGCATGGTCCGTGTTTATTGATGTTAAATAGTAGGCGTGGCAGCCTTGAATGGATCCCCGCCGGTGGCAGCTGATTGCGATATGTTTGATTTGATTCCAACGCTCTGAAGAGGTTGGCGGATTCCATGTAAGACGGTGAAGTTTCTTGTGCTAGAAGTTGGTGCTTCACAGAAACAGTCGGTGTTCAGCGCATAGTCGGAGGCGTTCTCCGTTATCCGTCCGGTTGGCTGGAATTGCATGAGGGCCATCAAGAAATCTTTCTGATTCGTCCAAGGATCCCAGTTCAGCATTGAAGCCCCCAGCGACTACCACATTGTCCATTGACCGAACACTTTGGAGCAGTTGTGAGAGGTTCTTTTAGAATTCATCCTTCATTGCTGATCAACTACGATCACTCAAAAAAGATAACAAGCTTTTATCGCAATGTGCATTACTAAATGGTACAAGTGTTAAAACAGGAATAAGCAAACATACGAAATATTGTGAATATATGGCTTAGTCTACGGCACGATTCATCAACATTTGCAAACATCAAAAGACATTATGCATTAGTAGGAACCGCTTTATAATTTACCCACAACATGTGTTTTTTAATGAAGAGAAGTATAATTATAAGCTCACCTGTCATCGTTACGGAACAAGAAGTGCTTCTCCACCAATGCAACACGATCAGCTTCTGACATGTTTGCCAATGGATAATAGGTACCCGCGTACTCTCCCGTTAAACCTTTTAAGGCCGTAGCAATCTAAAGAAAGAATACAAACTGAGCGTTAAAATGACTTTAAAAAGAAATTCTCAATCAGCAGTTTTGGAATATTTGCAACAACCTTAATCATCGCAAAGTTCATCTGTAACAAAAACGAGTTTGCTATTTGTTAGTATTTAGAGTTCTACGTTTTCCCTTGCTAAGAAACTAGACATGTACTTCCTTCAAACCCATGAGTAACAAAGTGATTTTTAATTCCTATAATTAACAATGTAAACGAATTTTATATATATATATATGTATATATATATAAGAGGTTACCATAACTGATAAGTGAACATGTTAAGAGGTAAGCATACCTTGTTTTCTAGCTCCAAACGCGTCTCCTTTGTCAAGGTTGGGCCGAATCCATAACCTTCTATGGTGCGACCTAGGCGCACACGAGTTGATACAACCATATCTCCATCAGCGTTCAAATCTTGAAACGAAAGTTTGCTCAAATCCCCAAAATTCGAGGGAGGGTGAGAGATTTCCGGAGCTTGGACCTTAAGTAAACAGAAGATGGATCAGGAGATATGAATTTTATGCTTTTTATCAAACAAAGGACTTAAATGACAATAGTCAATTTCACAGGAAACTTACCTTATGATAGTCCTTGATCAATGGATCGAAAAAATCTTTGAAAGTTTCGTAACCTCCAAGATCACAAGCACGAGGGAGTAAGGCCCCAGGGTTGTGAGCATCTGCAACAAATAATAAATACGATTCAAGACCAAAAGAAATGCCGAAATGTCAAGATAATTATTTGGCCTAACTTGTATTTCATCCAAGCACACTTATTGACTGATTGCTCTCGTTTCTTTGACAACAGTTCATCAGGTGACGTAAAATAGACTTTTATGGATAATATGAACCAAGAACACGGTTGTTTTGATTCACTGGTCCTATTTTTTCTCATTCTGTGCATATTCTCCATAATATTCGTCGTACAGTGTTTGAAAACCTCTTATTAGACTTATAAAATTTGATTTATACTGATGAAAACACGTGTTTTAATGGCCATCTTACAAATCCCATTTTGTACCATATCCGTCATTTCATCTAGTCGTTCATACATCCACAAACCGTTTTCCTAATAAGCTGTACGTAAAATCTCAAACCAAGTGGGGGACGTTAAGAAGGTTCTGGGGGTCCCGGGTTCCAACCGCTCCATCACCGCCCGTCTTCCCAGCCAGCCTTTGTATGGCTGCACCGCCTTCCTGACTGTTGACTGAGCATGTGTATATTCAACGAATAAAACAGGAAGCAAGAAGACACAAAGACACAGATAATCTTCTCTTAATTACACTATTTTATTGACAAAATCTTCCATCTGATACTCGCATTTTGCACAGTGAATGCAACATAATTCTTAGGGAGAACTAGACAAAAGCGTAACCTCGCATGTTTTGCTATGAAAGATCCAGTTGTATTCTTCAGGTTGAATTCAAAATTCTGTTTGAGTTGAATGCTTCTATTCGAGGTTTATGATAATACGTGTAAAGATGCTACTGACATCCTCTTACCATTCTTTTAAATAATTTACCACGACAGCCAGTAATTATCTTAGCTCATTACTTTTTTATCACACACCAGTGTGATGAACCGCAGATGGGGTGGACCCATATTCACAAAGACCTGCTGCTCGGTTATGGTAACCGGCAACCAAAGCCCTGGGACATGAAATGGCGAACCACATAAGACCCTGCTAGATTGGGCGTGATGTTTAACCGAACGACAGCAAATCTGTGTACCACCAAGTTAGGTAGCGGTGGAGGGCTCGGACCTCAGACCATAGGGACCAAAGCACGCCGGTGATGGCGACTAAACCACTGTGCCACCACCACTGTCGCGATTAATGAATAGGTTAGATAGTAGGAACAACAACCCCTTATGAAAAGACCTGCTCCTTGAACTTTGAAAAAAAAGATGACTTCTTGTATAAAACAAAACTGTTTACAAGGACAAGTAAAAGAACTCATGCAGTTAGTGTAGTTAACCACGAAGTACAAGCATTTTATCAGAGGTCCATCCGTTACCACTCAGGGTTCCGCTTGAATCCCTATCCATCCAAGAGAGAGTTGAAACGGAACTTAGTTCCCCAATGGGACCCATGTGGTGGGCTCTTTGGGCCTTTACGTGCTTCAGCAATTGAAAGCTCAGCCTTCTACAAAGTTTGACCGCAACCAGCGAAGGTTTAGGTTAGTTTTAGACTTGTCCTTTTATAAAGCATTTCGAGTCGTAGCTGTTAGGCACTCACCATTCATTTTCCTTCAGTAAATGATAGCTTCAGTGCAAAGAGATCAAACAGTTGTACAATGATCGTTTCTTTCACCTAACATGGTCATCCGTATCTTGCCGCCATTTGAAATTCACCATTGTGCTTCAAGCTATTACTTCTACTGAAACCTTGTTTCAGCAGTCTTCTGCTCTAGTTGTAAATGATTGTTTGCGGTTTATAATTCAGTTCTCTTGATAAACAAATCGTGGTTTTGTTGGTGGTGGTGGTTGAGTTCTATAGCTTACCGCATTATCACCCCGGAGGATGTGTTCAAACCCACTACCACTGCTGCCTGACTTCCTCCATTTTTATTTAGCGGATCCTTGAATGGCCCCTTTCTCCTCCCNCAGGTGTGAAAATGAAAATAAAGAATAATCGTTTTTGTTAAATTCAAACAGTTCTCCTGTTTTTCCTCGTTTTGGGGCTGCCTTTGGGTACTTTTAAAGATTGAATTATCTCTTCTTTGTGGAAAAAACTAACTGTTTCCATTTCAGTTCTTCGGGTCACTGCATAGGCCATCCGAATGGTTATTTAAGTGTCCCTGGCTAGATACAGACTTCAGATACGGACAGGATATTGCAAGTAAGGTGTTTTACTGACTTTTGCTCACATCTACGTCTATACTCCCATCAGGATATATGCGTGGTATAAACTGGTGAGCATCTTGCGACAGTCGGCAATGTATTAGAGGATATCCCATTTATGATTATTGAGGTGATCACCGAGGGCTCCAATGGTTATCACGATCACAAGACCAAAACTGTTCAGACTGAGACTAGATTTTCGTAAAAGAGTTTGACTTTTAAACTTTCCTAAAATGGTCCGATTTAAAGTGTATTTACACGGCTCCTTACTGCATCACACATTTGCTCAAATTTTTATTCTATCACTGTCTATTGATGTATTAGATTGAATCATAAAGGGCGATTTGAGGAAGTTCCAACTATTTCAATTACACAGGATAAAATACGTTCTAATAAAATGTGAAAATTAGAAGACCACTAAAACCATTTACAAATGGTAGGCAGGCAAGTAGTCTGAAAGTTTACAGAGAGGGAATTAAGGACCCAACAAAACGACACAAATTGGTGCACTGCCGCCAATTCATAGAATACGATCTCATATACGAGACAGGTAAATAATTGCACTAAATTAAATATATACTTATAAATACATAATTACTTTGTTTAACTTGGTATGAATCAAATTATAATTTAATTGCTGCACAAGTAGTACGACAGTCACCGTCGAGTCACCTCATAGTCACGTGAGAGTCACCGACAGTTACCTGAGAGTCACCGTTTCCTAGCTCGGTGACTGCGGGGAAAAAATTAAAATCGGTCCCCTTTTTTCAAAATTCCACTTCTAACGATTGTCGCGCTTAAATGAACTTCAGTAACTAATAATAAATCGTTGTAGCTTTTCTCAAAAGTCAAATCGCTACCAACTGAAACGCTATAAAATGTGATAATCATAGAATTCTTCCCTTGCTTACAGGTAAATAAGTCGATGCACTTACTACTTAGTTCATTTCAATGCGCACGAATACATTCCAAGCATAAAATGCCCTTAAACGCTGTTCTTTAACCCTTACCACTAACAATCCGTAGCTCTTTTTTTTGTATTACAGCCTAATCCTAATTATTACGCGATCTCTCCCTCGAGCACTACTGCCATACGTTTGAAAAGTCTCGAATTCCTGGTATCCGCGGATATTTACTGCGAGCTGCTGTCTTCTAATATCTAAAAGTTGTCTACACCGACTTACACAATGATAAGAGTCGTTTTAATGCGATTATTATTATTGTAGTAATTAAGGCACCCAGGCAGTATGAGCGTTACCTGGGCGTCCCTCAAGGTGACTGCCAATTGGCAGTCACCTGAGGGTCCGGCGGCGACACATTAAAGGGACGCTCACGTGACAGTCTTAAAACATTTGGCAGCAACGTTATCTAATCTTTCTATTCACCCGAAACCATATTGTTATTATTTAATTGTATTACTGCAGTGCATTCAGTTCAGTTCATTGCAGTAATACAATTAAATAATAAACTGAATAAAACACAAAACATGTATCTGATGAACGATTTGGAAAGGCTTACTTGTATTGACGCATTGTGCAAGAGAACCTCCGAGGGGAGTTTTGGCTGAAGAGTATTTTTCAACGATCGCGTCCGTTAAATGTTTCTTGGTCAAAGAATGGTTTCGCTCATCAGACTTAATTTTCTGTTGAAGAGCTTTGAGTGATTCAACCTGCATCTTCTGAAATAAGCGAACGGGCCTCAGGAAATAAAATGCCGACGGCGACCGAACACGCGTAAATATATAGCGACCAGTCACTTTTGGTGCCTTAAGTTCATTAAGTATTAGCTAGTTAAAACAAACAGTTCAGTTCAGTTGCACAGGACGAATATGGCTCTTGCCAGTCACGCGTCCAATTCGTTGTGTTGTCGGCGGATGGGAGTAGCTTCCAACACTGCGTACGGTTGATTGAGTATTTGTGATCCTCACACTTCAACCCCGTGTCAAGAAAGTTGTCTCCTTGGGGGTATGCTGAAAGGGAGAAAAACAAGTAAGGATATCTCCTCGCCTCATTGGTAAGAGACCTCAAGTACACTCAGTACACACTCAGTTCAGTTCAGTTCAGTTCAGTTTGCACAGGACAGTGGTGGCCGAGACCAATCGTGCGTCC